AGATAAGACTGCGATGTACATAACTCAAGTTTCGATCATTGATTTAAATATTCAAAATAATTGCAACAAAATTAATATTTCAGAATTGTATAAATTTTTACATCTGTCTTTTAATACAATTTTACTAAGTGATGAAAATAGTTGCACTAAATATAAATTCGCTAGCTGTTTTTATAAAGCTAAAAATAAAAATCGTAGAACTACGAGATGTGTCTTTTTGACGTAGAATATAAATATTAGGGAGTAAGAATTTATATAATAGGTTTATTTTCTGCTACTGTTAATTTTTTTCCATAAATTGATGGTTTCGTCAAAAGTTGATCTTATTTCTGGAGTCTGTAGACATCGCTGTCTTCTGCATCTCATAACATGTCTTTTATATGTCATCAACATAACTTATTGTTGACAAAGAAAATGAGTTACTTTTGTGTTCATTTTGTATTTTGCGCTTCTTTCAATGGGTTTTGCATATTTCCTGTAACATATGGATTCATCGTTCTGCAATGTTAAAATACAACTTTTAGGATCCATATATTTTGTGTATTCTGGGGATAGTCTTCCTGATACATCTCTAACGGTACATCGATATTCTAGGGTTCCTAATCAAGAGAGATTATTTAAAGTTTCATTCCTTTTTTTTTTCTTTTATATCTCATGGTAGAAGACACATTAGTCTTTGTGGATCAGTATATGGTGAATCATTTTTTACACTTTTAGGCGATGTCGATAAAAAATATTCTCTGCTTGTCTGATGGAGGTTTTTATCTTAAAAGTAAGTTTCTGAATTTTTTTTTTTTCCTTTCATTAAGTGTTTTGTTAGGTTCTTTAATAAACAAATCGTTAGCGTGAATGACATTTATACTTCATCGTGAAAGACTGTATAAATATGGAAGTACATGCATTTTTTTCATGTTTTTTTAATTCTCTTATTGTTCAATAACTTGATGCAAAGAATAATCCTTGTTGATTTTGGTCTTTATTGTTGTTTCAATTTCAGAGTTGAAATTCATCATAAAGCCTAAAAGAAAAAAAGTATTTAATTACTATTGATCTATAAGTCTATTTCCAAATTTTTTGGCGTATAGCGTAGGAGTATTAAACTCCGTGACTTTATCATGGATCGAGTATTGTATGATTTAGATTTGTTAAGTTTCTACTCAATTTCAACATAAAATTAAGTTTGTTTGCGTTTTGTTGGTTCTTATTTTATAGTTTCTCGGGGTTCTGTGTTTGGTAGATTGACAGTACGTTTTAAAAATTTGCACGTTCATATTTTTTTCATTTGATCCATTATATTTTGAACAGTTAGTTCTTCATCTTCCAATGATTGTTCGATAAAGGTTACTTCTCAAATTCATTTTAAGGCATCACGAATGGTTTTAGTGTTTTTTCAGCGTTTATGTAATGCAGTTCAGTTAGAGTTCACTTCTACCTGAAAGGTATGTTATAGTTAAGTAATAATTTGTATTTACTAGTTAAAGTAAATTCATATATTTTTTCTGTGCAACCATCAGTCATTTATGAAAGACCCTTTACACAAATAATGCTTGATTGTTCTTCACGAGATGTCGAAAATAACCATTACATATCAGCTGATAAATAAATCCTTTAACTTTCCGTCTTCTGTATAAATATAATTTAACAAAGTTTAAATACTTCTGATCCAGGTTGTAATAGCATAAAAAATTCACTTTTGTTTAAAGAATAGAGTTCTTTTAAAGGTTCCATAGCTAAGCATTAATAACCATATACCAGTTCATCACATTGATTAAACGTAACTTTGTTTATTCGTAAATAGGTTAAAGTATCAAACAGAATGTAAAGACTATGTTGTCTATAACGGTTATAAGGAGTTACTCGATGTGCGAGCGTTAAATTTAATATTATCATGGTTCTATTTTTTGATACACAACATCTTATTTGCTTAGAACGCTTACTTCACCAGCATATAGTTTTTCAATTGGTGCTGAAAAATTCTAGGTTCTCTACATCCTGGGAAATAGTTCTAAATATCTTGAGAGAAAAAACTTTAGATGCGCTTGACCTCTTTGTAGATTATACGGACAGAACAACGAAGATACTATTCTATGGTCCTCCAACCTAATAATTACTCGGTTATTTTTTCATGTTACGTTTTCTTAAAGAAAAGTAATAATAGTCTAAAATTCACATAAAAATCAGTTAAGGCAGCAACATAGAAATAATATAACCAACATACGCCGTTTACCTAATACAATACTGCACAACCTCTGTTATTCTATCTATTAATTAGTACAGCACAGCTACAATATTTGCGTGATTCTATTCTACTTGTGTAATCCATGGTTATAACAGAACTTTTCTGGTAGCACACAAGCGGTAATTGTATAAGGATTCTAATTATACATAACATAATATGTGTGTGTGTGTTCCTTAGGGTGGTCGTTGAAAATTAAATTTTTTCAGGCGCCCGAAAAAAACTTTCCTTAAAAAGGTAAAGGGTCTTATAATGTCATCCAACTACTTGCTGATCAACTGTACCCACTCTACGCTTTACAGCTAGGAGCCTCACTTATGTAAAGTTTTGAGGGGCACAGATGTAAAAGATCAAAATGAATTCTTTTACACTCCAGAAATTGTGTGAAAAAAAGGACAATAGAAATACTGGTGACAGTATAATAATAATGGCTTATTAGTGTCTGGGGAATAAATATATTTGTTGGAATGATACATCTGTTCTTTTTCCGTCGTAGATTAATAACATACAATATTATTTTTAATAAATAGCTTATATTATAGTAAGTTTGTAAGCGAGAAGCATTCTATTGGTTTTGATTTGGACACATCAGTATAATATAATCCTTTTCTGCTCTTCTCTTTCTTTGAGTACTCGTCTTAGTAATTCTACCTCTTTTGCATCATGACTTAATATTTTCTCCATTACTTCCTTATTTCTCGTATCTTTGCATATATTAACTATGTTTCTATGGTCTTTTTCTTCTTCTATGCATAATCTACACTTCTTGTCCTCATTTCCTTTCCAATACTCTCTACCTCTTTATTTATTTCTACACCTTAACCTTGCTACTAATTGTCTCGCCTTTAATGTCATGTCTTTTTTCAAATATTCTAGTTTTTCCTCTGTTTTTATATCTTTAAATACCTCGTCGTACCATAAATTCTCTATCTTTTCCGCTCTCTTCTCTTTTTCTTTTCCTTCCTTATTCTTTAATATTTTTTCTCTTACTTATTTTCTACATTCCACCTATTTTATGAATCTTGTTTTTTTTTTTTTCTTCACGTCACATTTCAACTCTCTTTGGCGATTCTTTTCCTATTTTCTCTCTTTCTCTCTCTCTCTCTCTCTCTCTCTCTCTCTCTCTCTCTCTCTTTGTCCTTATCTATTTCTCTTATGCATTTTTTTGTTAATTTTATGTCTAAGTCCCTAATTTTCTCTTCTTATTTNCATGGTAGAGGAGCAAATCAACGTATACAGGGAGCTAGAAAACCGATGTGAGCCACGCACATGATTTCGAACTGCAGCTGTAGGCCGATTTTCTGTGCATGTTATCGTTTTTTTATCCTCAGTGTGATGGCACATTTATTATATATTCTCGTGGTTACGTTATTTATGTATTATTCAAATAATTTTATCCATCAGTCTCAGAAATTGTGATGTGTACGCACTTCTTGTGAGTATGAAATGGATCCACTGGTAAAAACTTTCTTGGAGATTGGGAACTTTGACGAATTAAACCGCTATTTTGCAGGTAAGTGTACACTTGAATCAACGATCGAGAATAAGATTAATTATAAGCGATTCGAAACAATAAATAATGGCATATTAGCTGACTTGTGTGTAAAAGTGACTGCTACAATCATAAAACATAGTTCTCGAGAGTTATACTGCCTACTAACACGTGTTCATCTAACTTTCATGAAAGAAATTCGTATTCGATTTTTATGTAACAGCGTACAAAGCATTTTTTATGTCCACTCATGCAAGTACGAAAAAGTGCTTCATAGCACGGTAGATGGCCAGCAGCTCCCTGTCCTACGTGCTATAGCGTTGTTCGGTGGATGACAGCTTCTGTGAAATGAAGCCCAAGGGTGACCAGACACCTTTGGGGTGCTCTTACTCCAGAGTGGCTCCAATCGCGTGGCTGGACGCGTCAGTCTTAAGAGCTAGAGGTGCATCTGGGCGCAGGAAGAAGGTCTTCACTGCAGAAGACAGCGCTAGCTTGGATTGAACGAAAGCAGTGTCTGCTTCCGGCGACCAATTCAGTTAGGCTTTTTTGTTCTTCTCCGGAAGGCCTTAAGCTCGTTGAGTGGTGCGAGGTCGGCGGCTGCTCTAGGAAGGCATCGACGGTAGTAGTTGAGCATGCCGAGGTACCTTTGCAGCTGTGAAGCCATCTCTGGCTCCAAACCAAACCAAACTCAGACACAAGGTAACCTAAAAAATTTACCTGTCTCTGACCTAGGACGCACTTTTCTGGGTTGATGCGAAGCTTGGCGCTGCGCAGGACGTTGAGGAGCTCCTTTAGGTGCCTGATGTGCGTCTTGTGGTCTGGTGAGAAGACGATGAAATCTTCTAAGTAAGCCCAGACGAAAGGCAGATCCCTCAGCAGATGGTCCACCGTGAGCTGGAGTGACTGCGCTGCGTTGCATTGGCCTAGAGACGATCTGGTAAACTCGAAGAAACCAAAAGGAGTTGTTATGGCCATCTTCGGAGCTTCCTCCTCTGCAATGGGGATCTGATAGAACGCTTTGCATAGATCTACCACGGAGAAGACTAAGCCTCTTGCCTCCTAGAGGATGTCCTCCACAATAGGCAGAGGGTAGCGGTCTCGCTGGGTGATGGCGTTGAGACGGTGGTAGTTCCCTGTCACGCGCCAACCTCCTTCGAGCTTCGGTACCAAGTGCAGCGGGCTGGCCCACTGGCTGGAAGAGGGGCGGACAATCCCCTGCTCGAGGAGAAGACCAATCTTTTTCTTCGCTACTTTCAAGTGCTGGCCGATGAGTCATCTTGGACGCTTAAACACTGGAGGGCCAGTGGTCACGATGCTGTGCTTGATAGGCAGGTCTCGCAGAGAAGCAGTAGTGCTATCCGGGGCAGCAATGTCCATAAATGTACGAAGCAAGGTATCGTATGCTTGGCTGAATGGTCCTGGTGTTGACAGACTTAGCACAGCTGAGATGCTGTATAGTTTGGCCAGGGACAGGGTGCCAGCAGCGCAGAGCTTGGTGACTGAGTCGATGAGCTTCTTGTTCCTAATGTCTACCAAAAGCCCAGTGTCACTCAGCAGGTCTGCGCCGATGATTGGAGTGGACATCTCTACTATGATGAAAGGCCATATGAAGACTCTGCGAAGGCCCAAGTTCAATGCCATATCGTGCGTCCCATAAGTCTTTATGGGATAGAGATTAGCCGCATGGAGAGTGAGTCTTCCTGAAAGTCGAGGCTTCCTGAAAATTGACTTAGGGATTATCGAGACCTTAGAGCCTGAGTCGTTAAGGAACTTAAGACACGAGTTTCTATCCATTACGTGACGGCGTTTTCCACTAAGTTGAGTCTGTCCCACCTCTGTCGCCTAAACCAGAGGGGGAGAGGTTAGTTCCCCTGACTCAGGGAATAAGAGCAGGGAGGTGTGCAGTGTCTGGCTTTGGCACCAAACTTCCGAACGAACCAGCAAAGACCTCCACCTGAGCCACCTCGTGTGTTGGATCTGCTTTAAAATCTGCCTCTCCATTGACCACCTCTCTCAGGTTGGTTGTTGAGCTGCAGGCTGAGCTGGCTGTCTTGCGCTGAGAGGGCCTCTACCCGTTGGGCCAGCTGGCTGTCTGCTGTGGACACTGAAGTCAGGCTTGAGTCATTGAGGGCCGGGGTCAAAGGAGGCGGTCGAGTAGTGATTCACTGAAAAAAATTTCGAGGAGAAGCTACTCCGAACCGTGGAACATCCACTCGATACGCATGCTGGTAGTCGTTCATAACTCAGTGTGGCCGCTCCTCGGCTATCGAGGAGCTGATACTTGCGAAACTCGACAGCGAGTGTCTGATACCTCACAAAGAGGAGCTGCCATCTAATGACTGATGAGTGACAGATCCTCGCTGTTTTGAGTGGCCGTCCCTCGCGTACTGTTCCGCAGCATATAGCCCACATGGAAATCAAGGTTAGGAAACTTAAGTGACAAGTGTAATTTTATTTGTTCATCATGGATAATTTTTTGCATAAACTCTAAAGATGAACAAAATGTAGAGTCTTTAGTATGTTTAAGGTCAGGGTTGTGAAATAAATTATATGATTAATATGAAAGAAAAATGTTTTTCCATACATCTCATGAGCCCATGTAATATTCCTTTTTTGATAATTTTCGCAAGTTTCTTTAAGTTTAACAAACATTTGAAATTTCATAGAGATGAGTAAAAATTAACTACGTGCGTCTTCTTCTAATAAGTCAATCTCGATGTCATATTCCTCGATTTATAAAGGAACTGACACTCGATGAGAAAGTGTGCCTGCTACTTGGTTTCATCGAGTGTCAGCTACTCGAATTTCGAGTAGCGGCTGCTCAACAGTGATGGGGGCATTGTTCCTCAACTTTAGAGAGGCAGATCCTCGAAATTTTTTTCAGTGCTGAGATTGCAGACACTCCTGGGATGGTCTCAATCAGATCGTCTGCCGTAGAGCCCAACTCCTCCAATAAAGTGGTCTTAATGATCTTCAGAATCCGAGTGACCTGTGGAGGAAGCAGGTGAAGCCACTTCACCTTGAGCACCGCCTTTGTGACTTTGTTGTCATACGGGGCTCGCACGGAGCGAAAAAGCTGCGACGGCCTCTTGTCGCCAGGCTCCAGCTTATTGAACAGCTGATCCAGCCTCTTGTTCTGAGAGTCTGTTAGGCGTGACAGAATGGCCTCTTTAAGTTTTCAGTTGATGGATGTTCCAGCACATCCAGAAGCTCGTTCACCGTTGCTGCCTCGAGTGAGGCCACGACAAAGTCGTACTTGGCCCTGGCATCAGATAGGCCACTGACGTTGAACTTGGCCTCCGCTGACAGAAACTACGCCTTTGGATTGCTGGTCGAGGAGGTGATGCCGGGGATACAGGCGAATGGACGCCGATTGTCGTGTGCAAGCGGGCTGTCTGCTAGGCAAAGAGCCAAGCCACGCGCGGCATAGTCACTTGTTTATTTTTTGTTCAGTCTAATGTTCACTCTCACTCTTACTCTTACTCGGGTCGTCGTGCATGGATGTAAAAGGTCTATACACGAAGGAAGTATAGGTTGTACTGCGGCGAGGGGGAAAGAAAGAGACAAAGCGTTTTTTAGCGGGATCAGCGCCTCAAAGTTCTTGGAAGAGAGAAGGAAAAAGAATAAAAACAAAAACGCGCGTCTGGCTCGTCTCATAGGTTATCCCCTTTTTCTCTTTTTTTTGCTCGCGCGGCCGGCGCAAGAGCAACCGCCCACACAGGTTTTGGCTGGAAAGACACTAGATGCGAGGTCCGAGTGAAGAAAACTTTGGGTCGAGTGAAGAAAAAACAATGGCGGTTCGCCATTTTACTTACGACAGATCACGTCGGGGTCACCAATTACCCGAGGATAGGAGGGTAGTACGAGGTGCAAGAAGCTCGACCACACTTAGTTGTGTTAAACATAAAGATTCACTTATTGACTAAATACAAAAATGGATAATAATGCGTGTGTTTCTCGCGCAAGCCAAAGCTGAACTCTGGCATTGATCGAGGAGTTGCCAGCTTAACTAGCAGCACATCCCGAGCCTCGATTAACCGTTCGGTGGCACCATCTGATGTGTACTGAAGATGTCGCGCGGAATGAAAGTTTGCTTGCACTTGCTCGGCTGCGAAGTCAGAGTCGCCAAATGTATAAAGTTCTTTTCACACCAAAAACAAAAGGATTTAGGCAAAGTAACACTTTTTTCTCTGGCGACCCTACCTAGTATTATCAGGCGACATCTCAGATGATTTATTATGTCAAAATCTCCCCTGAGATATTTTTCTAAGATTTGTGTTTTTTCAAAATTTTTTAGCCTTTTTAAGCATGATAAATAAATTTTAGACTTAAGCATTTTTTCAAATTTTTTGACTTAGTAAATTTTTAACAATGAGACATCAAACTTTTCAAGTCCAAAATACGACACTTTTGCTAAAATATATTAAAAAATGCAAGAAGAACAACTATATTCAAAAAAATTTCTCGGGTGAGATTTTGAAATGAGAAATCACCGGAGATATAACCTGAGATTACAAAGTAGGGGAAAATATAAGGCACTTTTGTGGAACAGTTGTGCCTAAAAGTAGCTTTTAAGAATCTCAACAGAGTCATAAGTCATAGTACAGACACTCGACTCTGTGAGATAACTAGATATTGATGAAAGCAGAAAAATTCTTAGTGGGAACGTAAGTTTTTTTAATGATACATAGTATATGTATATGTAGTTCAAAATATCTGAGTCCAACCATTTGTGAAATATCAAAAATAAAGAAGAATTTTCAAATTCGAATCAGATATGTAGCTACTATTATGCGATCAGAATAAAATGTATGTATATCTGAAAGTGATCGAAAATCTAACAAAACTGTTACTATAAGAGAAATAAACTCTGCTTTATCGTAAGTTTGCAAAATCCTTTTAAAAATATGACTCAAAAAACCACTTTAAGTCATTCATCACAAATTAAAGATGTACATGTACTTACTTGCTATCACGTTTGTTTTATTTTAAGGCCAATACTAACTTATACTTTTGTTTTTGGAATCCATGAAAAAATTCACTCTATTTATCTTAATGAAAAATTCAGAAATAGCAAAAAAAATTCGTCAAATAAAACGTTTTGAGCTAATAAGTTATTTACATTACTCTATCACACCTATCACTTAATATTGCAATATTATTTGGCTGTTGAGAGAATCCCAACTATCATGAGATAGAAGATGAGTTAGCAGAAGCTGAGAACGACTACGAGGAAATTGAATGAACGAAAATCAGTCCTTCAACATTAATCTAAACATGTGACTGTTATTTAGTTGAAAGAAATAAAATACTTTCCATTGACGCCAACGAGTAGAAGCTAACTTTGTAAGAAATGTATATTATAACGTAGCTGTAAATAGTTAGAACTTATTGCTTAAAATCAGAATTTTTAAATCTTGTGTGAGTACATGTACAATTAGAATATTTGAGTGAAAATGTTACAAATTTTTGACACAAATCTGCTACATTTCTATGCTTTTACATTCTAAACTTGTAGAGTTGCTTCACTAATCCGTAATTTAGTTTCAACAAGCAGTTTTTGTTAGAATACAAATACATACACTCTTAACTGAAAGTAGGAATTACACAAATCGAAAGTATAAAACCAATAATACCTACTTTCCAAAAATATAAACGTTATTTTTCTTCATTGAAAAGAAGAAATCAAGTCATTTCATCTTGTTCCGTCTCGAACCGATATAGGTATACCCTAGTCTCTCTCGATCGTGTACACTCCGCTCGGCTCACATCGGAAAGATCCTGTTCACATGCACGGACGTGTCTATTACACATCGTTTGCTATTTGGTGTGCTTTCGGACCGGAGGGAGAGAGAAAAGGATAATGCGGGAGAGCTACCGAATCTTCAGGAAAGTGCCGCGCGCATTCGTTCACTCTGTTCTCGCTCCTCGCNGCTCACCCAAGTTGGGTGAACTGCTTACCCAAAGTGGGCGAGCAGCAGCACCAAAAGTCTACTTAACCAAAATCTTGTCGATTGGTGTTGCTGTTCGCGCGCCCAAACTTGAGTGAGCAGTTTACTAACTTGAGTGAACGAGAGCATCAACCACGGGTGGCGTGGTAGACTGTAAAGTTGAGCAGACTTTCCAACTAACTTTTTTCCAGTGTGCATAATTATAAGATCAAAATTTAAGGAAGCTACGGTGGCGTCGTCATTCTTAACCAAAAGTAGGAAAATGAACGCTCAAAAGTAGGAATTACACAAACCAAAAGTATAAAACCAGTAATACCCACTTTTTAAAAGTGTAAACGTTATTTTCCTTCATTGAAAAGAAGAAATCAAGTCATTTCATCTTTAAAAAAGTAGGAAGTACGTCTTTTATACTTTCTGAAAGTGTACATCGAAATTTTGTTCTTTCAAAAGTGTAATATTTTTAAATTATACTTTTTAAAAGTATTATCTTACAATTTATACTTTTCAAAAGTATAAAATTGAGAATTTAGACTTTTCAAAAGTATACGTATAATTAACACATATAAGCGCTCCCTCACTACATGATGTATATATAGTATACACTAGAGATATCTTTTATTTACAACAATCTCAACATAACCAGCTCATCCTCGTTTTGACATTTTTTTCACATGACATTTTTGTAACTTTTCTATTTTAATGAAGTGAAATAATGTAAAAAATGTCGTTAGATCTGCAACTACCAGAGGTAAGTACTTACTTTGAACGCATTTTACTGCCTGCATGCTTACACGTGTATATTCGAATGACTCGTCCCGAAAAATTTTTACAGGGAGTTTTTCA